TAGATATTAGGAAGAAATTATTTACTGTGAATAATTTTTTTTGCTCATAGGTCATAGAAAGGTCTCCATGCTTTGTCAGGTAATAGTAATTGTGAAATGGCTGATAAGATGTGCATTTATCTCTGTTTATGTCATTAAAGAGAACAGTTTAGAACTTGTTGACCACAATAATAACAGTAAGCAAACTGTTTTTTGCTGAGAATAAAAGATTTCTTGCTGGTATCTGTTGATTACAAGGAAAGCCAAGGCAGTGTGGAGACTTGCAAAGCTCTACATCCATTGTAAATAAGCAGTTGTATTATGTTCTATATATAGAACACAGGAAGTCTACTTAAAGACTGCTTTGTATCTGTAACAATGTCAAATATTAAAATGTAGAGCAGAAAATTGCTGAAAAACTTCTAGATGATAATGCTAATCTGAAAATATATTTACAAGAAATTCTTTTCTGTTTAGTTTTATGGAGGGGGGAAATGATAACTTTATATATTTTTTAGTACTTGACAACACTGATTATTTAATTCAAACACATTTCAAGGCTACCTCTTACTTTACTATATTAAAAAAATAGGAGCTATTCAGAATGTTTTTGTATTGTATTTTGTCCAGAGCTAGAAGAGTTCTGGGAGAACGAAGGCTTTAAGCTGGCCATTTCCCTCTGTAATTTTACGAGTTTATAAGACCTTTTGAGAGGGACTTTTTGCAGTTCCTCTGAGTAGTAAATTGTTGTAATAAATTGGCACGTGCATGATTAAGGGTATGATTAAGGGTAGCATTCTGACCTTTAGAATTCTCATTACTTTGTATAATCTACAAGATGGAAAACACAGCTCAGGATGTGATTAGCTGGCTCACAAACTTGTTTTTTGACTTGCTGTTAACTTGATCCCAGGACTTGATCCCAAGCCTTTTTTCTACAGAGTTGCCCCCTAGTCTGTCTTCAGCCTTTGCCAACGCATGAGTTTGTCCCCAGGTGCAAGATTTAGTGTTTGTTTGAGGTTCTTGTCAGCCTGTTCTTTCAGTTTTGAAGGTGACTGTATACGTTTATCTTTTCCCTGGGACATCTATGATGACCACTACATTTCAGATGTGCTAGGGAGAGACCTCTTGTCTGGCTAATCAGTATGTGCATCCTATCTAAATCCATAAAACAGCCTATGTCCAGTTTTCTTAAGTGGTCCTTAAGTTGATCCTTCTTTCCTGCAGGTAGTACTTTTATCCTCCAAACTCTGCTGCTAGGCACTGGGGCCTGAGGAGGCCTGAGGGTAGACCTTGCTAGTAAGGACTGGCAAGGTATTAAGTGTCTTAGCTTCTTTCATCTTTCATGTCCTTTGTCACTAGGTCTTTCCTCTCTCTCTGCAGTGGACCTGTGTTGTCCTTGCTTGTAGAAGGATATCCAGTATGCTCACAGAATCCCTTCTTTTTGTTCTTCGCATCTCTTGCTAGTTTCATCTTCCGCTGTGGTTTTCCTAATTCTACCCCTGCAGGCCTGGAAAGTGCTTCTGTGTTCCTCCTGGGTAACTTGTCTCAGGTTCCACCTTCTGTAAGCTTCCTTTTGTTTTTATTAGAAGTTCCACATCTAGCCTAATAGCAGATCAGATGGACCCTTCTCATCCTCTGTGGAGGTTGTCTGTAAAGATCAACCAGCTCTCGTGGCACCTTTGTTGCTCAGGACCATCTCCCATGAGATCCAGCCAAGCAGATCCCTGAAGAAACTGAAGTCCATTTTCCTACAGTACAGGGTTTTTCTTTGTTCTGTTACTTGTTTTCCTCACTTCCCTTAGAATCTTAAGAACCAGTATCTTGTGGTTGCTGCAGCGAAGGCAGCTGTTGACTTCCATGTCCCTGATTAGACTTTAAAAAAAAAAAAATTACGAGTAGAAAATTCAGTAGAGCAACACTCCTAGTCAGTTTGTTCTGCATTTGTGTTGGTACTTGTCCTCAATGCATTCAAAGTCTGGATTGCTGTGCCCTACTGTGTTGCTCTTCCAGCAGGTGAACTGGTGGTTCTGTTCCACCATGGGGACCAAGGGTGAGTGTGTGAAAGATTCTCTTGTTGCCCTGTCCTGTGTGTGCCTCTTACCTCACACCTCCAACACCTCAACAGTTTGGTTTAGTCAGGTTTGGAATACATGCTCCTCGTGATTCCCAGATTTCTTTTGGTATGTAGAAGCAGTAATTAAGTTTAAATGTAGTTTATGTGAGAGTGAATATGTTTGCCATCCAAAGGCAAATGACTTATTTAGCATATATCAGGTAAACTTTTGGGGTTTTTGCCCATATATTTCAACACACAAACAGGTGATTTAAATGTTGTGATTTCTGCCTCAGTCTATAATTTAATGTAACCTAAATAATCAATGTACATCTACCCATCTGTTTCTTCTTTACCATAGAAGTAAGTACTTCTGTTGAGCTCTTTTTATCTCCTATTCTGCACATTCTAGAGTCAGGATTAAAAAATTTTCAGTATTACATTGTGATATAAGTGAACTGTATTGGTTGTAGGTGCAGTGTAGGAATGGAAAGTCTGATGGAATTTGTTGAAAAGCAATAGTTAATATTTTGACAAGTTTGTTAGCCAAGTTTTGAAAGGAAAAAGATACATCAAACAAACAAAACCCCCAATCCACAAAAAACCCAGAAGTGGTAATTTGCTGCAGCTTTTCAGATGGCTTTCAGGAGTACAACATTATAATGGTAGTGGTGTATATTAATTCAGTATTATCTATTTAAGTTTTCAGAAGCATTGCATTTCTTCTGGGGACAAAGTTTTATGAGAAAGAACAAGAATACAAACTTTGGAAAGGATTTGTGACTCTGCACTTAACTAATTGAATATATTTTTAATATTCTGTTCTTTTTGAATGTGGAAAAGAATACCTTGTGTAAAGTAATAGTATCTGCTTTGAATTCTAATGAACACACAAATTGTAAAGATTCTGTTACTTAATCTTTAGAATTTTAAACATTTATTTAGTGTGGATTAGGTGTTTCTTTTTGTTTTGTCTGTATCATCTGTTTTAAAATACATCTTAAAACCTGACACAGGCTTCAAGACATCAAGAAGATGAACAAGTGGCCCTTGTCAGAACAGATCAAAGTGGAAGGGCATGGCCTGTGACAGCAGCAACTGAACCACAGGAGCCAAAAGGAGGACGAAGAAAGCGACAGATGGTAAGTTTTACAAATGTGAGTATTAAAGTGTAATTCTGAAATGATTTTTTGATTCCATAATTAATGTGTCTTATAAGAATGTCAATAGGTGGTTGAAAAGTCCCTTTCTGATTATGATTGTAATTAAGTGTCAGAGTACATAATTTTTGGGCATATATTAAGTTTATTTTCAGACTACAGGGATCACTTTAGGGCTTATTTAAATGCACATCCAAGGAAAAGTAAGTTTTTTAAATTATCAGACTCTTTGTTAATTAGTTTATATTACATAAAGTTATGTAAATGATGAAGATTAGCAGAGGTGTATAAGTATAGAGACATCTCCAAAATAAGAGAGATCTTACTGAGATAGTCTGATCTCAGGGGCTACTTTTCCTTTTCTTTTTTCCTAATCAAAAATACTGCTACTGCTGATAATAAAAATTATGACTAATCTTTGCAACAAAGTGCTTTGGGGAACAGTGAGAAGCTTGGAGGCTGGAGCAGGATTTTATTCTTGGAACGTTTGCTTGCAACAGTAAATGAACATATTTTGATCTTCTTGGGATGAAAGGAGGTGACAGTACCTTGTATTTCTAGCAAGTATGTTCTTGCTTAGTAGGACAGCTCAGTTTGTAATACTGCTATGGAAGAGTGAAAGGCACAAGAGGATGAGGAATTTGGTTGTCATCTTCCTGTTGTTTCCATTTTGGAAAATGCCATCTCTGCTTTATGTTAATGACCACTCCCTATGCTCCTTCAGGATTTACTTTAGTCCTGCCCTAAAGGACAAACTCTATTCTCTTGTGCAATCTGTCTAACGTGGAAACATTTCCCAGCAGAGGTGCTGCATTTATACAGGTTTTCAGCAGTGTATGTGATTGCTGTGTTTCAGTAGTGTCTGTGACTTGACAATTCAAAAGCTTCTATAAATAACGAAGATTACTTTTTGGAATACTCCACTTTTGTGAGCTGATTAACTGTTTCAGTGACTCGCTGTACATCTTTCCTGAGTGGTAATGTTGTAGCTCATATAGCTGAAGGGTATAAAGGATATAGTGATTGTCAGAAGAGACTATATTTTTATTTAGATGTACCGATGCAATTGATGAATAGGGAAGATGTTATTTCCTTTAGGTCAAACAAAACGGCAAGCCCAGTTGTTTCAGATGGACTTAGCTTGATTAGTGATTCTTCAAACTTGTTGAAATTATTAGGATCTGAATTTTATAGTTGATCTTTCTCACTAGGTTAATATTTATTTTCAATATGTTTGTTTCCAGTTCCCTACTCATGTAGACAGAGAAAGAGTAAGATACTTTCAAGATGATGATAGTATGGACTTGAAGGATTTGGTCAAAAATGAGAAGATGAGAACAGCAGAGGATCAAAACTCACTGTTCATGCGAATGGCGTCAAAGGTAAAGTGTCATGTGTATGGCTTTTTAATTAAGCACTGTTATTAGAAATATCAGGGAGGACATGAGACCTCAGTGCTCTAGGCATGTTGCTTTTGGTTGAGAATTCTGATTGTCTTGAATAATAATCAAGTCTTTAAGATAGTCCTCATAGATGTTATCGAAGTGATGGAAACCTGCATGCATGCAGGAAATGTGATGCGTTCAGTTCCTTCATTGAGGTGATTTGATTGTGCTGTTCCTCTGGGGTTGGAACTAGATGATCTTTAAGGTCCCTTCCAACCTAAACCATTCTATGATTCTGTGATTTATACATTATAGTTCCATGAGTGATTCCAGTTAAAAGAGCAGCCAGCTCACAGACAGATACTGCAGTGCAAATTGAGTGGTTAATTTCTGTCATCCAAACTGAATAATAAAGGAATACTTTCTGTGCTTGATATGGAAGTGTTTGACAGAGATGATTTCCAGTAGCTACAACATGCACTTTCTCTAGCATGCTTCAAATTTTACTAGGTTACTGCTCCAGCATTTTGTACACAACTGAGCAGGTTTTGAAAAAGCTTGTTAGTATGGAATTAGTATCATCACAGACAAAATTTGTTTTTCCATTTATCTGGAAGGCAGACAAGATCCTGGAGGGTAGGTTTTGATTGATTTTTTTTTTTTTTTTTTTTTCTTTTTAAAATTCTCCTTCTTCAGGTGATACTTGAAAGAATCAGAAAAGCCATGGTAGTGCCCAGTAGAAAATATTTAACCTGATGCTATAAACCCTTGGCAGTAAGTTCTTCTGAAGAGATTATCAGAACTTTAGAATGTAGTGTGGTTTATGCATCTTCTCATTCAGCTGCTTCTGGTAGAATTCTCATTCTCTCCCACTGGCATACTCAAAAAAAATGATGCCTTTGGGGTCCAGTTAAATAAACACGTCTTATTGCCAGTATTTGATTTCCTTCTTTGCCCTCCCCTCCAAAAAACAAAAAAAAAACCCCAAACCAAACCCAAACGTGTAAAACTTACTTCACAACCTGTGTAACAGTGCAAACTATTAAATTATAGTTAACTAGCATATCTGTCATGCAAACATTTACAAGTAAATGTAAGGACACAATAAAACTTTGCATTGGCTGCATCATATGATAATAAGCATAACAAAGAGGGATGGTTGCCATTTTCTCAAGGACCTTATTCATCTTGTATTGTCTTGTCTCCATTAAGTATTTTATTTAGAAGAGGTAACTTTTGTGAAGAAGGATGGTTGGGATGTGTGTGTGTATGAATTAATGACTATATTAAAACATAAGTAGAAAGGAATTTAAAAAAAAAACCCACAACAAATCTCAAATCTGGGCATTGAAGGTGAGTTTGTAAATCAGTATTAACAGATCTTTCTGAAATTATTATTAATGTGCTCAATTTGTCCTGTGTTTAGTCTGATGTTTTCATGTGACTGCTTCCACTGAATAGTTGAAAGAGTTGCTTTTTGTGCTCTGATTCTTTTGAGAGATGTGAAAATAAAACCTGAGTTTGGTAATAGCAAATTTGCAGTGACCCTGTGGAGACATCATGGAGAGTGCTCTCAAAAAGAGAAATATTTTTTTGCTTGGATTTTTCCAAACTCAAATGAAAGGCTGTTCAGACTTTTCTGAGAAACATGTGTGCATTTAGACAGCAATGTACTTGGCTTGCCCCTGAAATTTCTAAACTTTGTGAAGTATATTCATATATTTATTGATTCCAAGTTCCTTCACTTCAAACTGGAAATAGTGTTTGACTCTAGGAGCATGTTTAGTTTCCTTGGTTTAGTTTTTGTATTTTTGACAATATATTAAGTGATTATTAATGAAAGGAAGACTAGCAAACTTGAGGGCAGACCAAAGATTTCTATATTATTTAATTTTGTAAATCTTAAAGGGGAAAATTCTGATAGTTTTTCTTTGTACTTTTTTTGTTCTATTATTTTTTTCTATTCAGTTTTGAAATGCTATGAGTTTTCCAAGTTCTTGATGTTTGAGACGCTTAATGCAAGTGCAGCTATATGAGAGATTCACTCAGCCCAGTATTTTGTGTCCAGCAGTGACTGCTTAGGAGAAAGAGTATAAGAACAGGTCACATTTCCAATGATGCAGCCTTTCTGTACTTTCTTGGTCTTTAGCAATTTGGGAGTTCTTATGGTACCTCCTTACCTAGTATTTTGCTCAGCTTTTGGTTTATGGATAGTTATGTTAATTGGGGATTTGACTGAATATCCCATTACTTCCTTTCTGTGGCTCCTCATCTCCCATTTCAACATCTGTATCTATTGTTAAAAGGAATGAGCTATTATTATTGAATTTGAAGAAAATAGAAAACCAAACTCTGTATGTGTAACATCTTTGATTAGCATTGTTCTACTTGCAGGCAGTTCTGCAAAGATGTTGGTTACTTGCACTGTAAGGATTTCTGGGACAGTGGTGAAGTGTGATCCATTTAGGAATGGTGCAGAAATGGCCTGGCTCAGTATGTACCTGTTTTGAAAAGAAAGAATCTGTACAAATGAAGTTGAACTTTGGCAACTGAACTTCTGCATCCATATAGTAGAGGAAAATGCAATATAGTGTTTATAGAGAGGCAATTATGAAGAAATGTAGAGTCTATTTAGTGGGAGTTTAAATTGAGTACATAAAGAGAAAATACTTGCAGGTTATGAGGAGCTCACTCATACTCAGTGCTAATTGCACACGTATGCCACTGGTGAAAACATTCTAAGAGATTAAAAAAAAGGGCTAAAGCTTTATTTAATTGTTTTTATTTAAAAATAAATCCAAGGGTGGTTGAACAGAAAAGAGCTTCTGAAGGTTAAAAGAAAAATCAAGTCCAGAACCCAACTATTATTTTAAAAGTACTTTTTATGTCCAAGTAAGGAGACTGGAAAAGAGCTTGAGCCTAGCAGGCTTAGAAGTAAGCTTTGATAAGAAAGATTGAAAAATTATCTTGAGGGAATTACTTTCATTATTTTGAATTTGCTAAAAGCATAAAACTATGAGTTAAACTCATTGGAAGCAGGAAGCCTGCAGGAATGTGGTGTTGAAAAAACCTGATCAAGGTATAATTAAAGGATGTAGTAAAGATAAGTGAATGCCAGAAGAACTAATGAGCTATTTGCATTGATTTCCTCTATAAATTAGGTCAGAGCAATTCTTTTGCATGAGCCATTATTTATAGGGAATAAATGAAAAACTGTCTCAAGTTACCAGTGTCAATAAAATGACTTTTAGCTCAAATTTATAGAAATCCATTATTTTAAAAAGAAACTTGAATTTGAGGTGAATAATAACAAATTGCTAAAACCTAGAGCTTGTCACTTGAGTGGTCTGAAAGAAGTCAGATGTGACATGCTGAACTGTGAATGGCTGAAGACGGCAAATATAATGACGATCTTTACAAAGAAAACAGAGGGCAGGAGTAAATGGTTATTTTTTTATTAGAAAAGAAGGTTACCAGTGGATTCATCAGGAATCTGTTCTGTTCAACACACAGACAATGCATCTATAGGAAGGGATATTTTATGACTTAATAATTTGTTATTGTTACGTAATTATTCAGGGCTGTTAATAGAGGTCATTGTAAATGATTTTAAAATAGAGAGCTGGGATTTTTCTGACGTTGTGAAACTTATGTCTGAACTGATCCTAAAGATTCACTTTAGAGAGTTGCTGGAGAGACGTACGTATTTTAGTGGTGTGAGTCATCTGTACTATTTTGAATGCTGTCTGACAGACATTATGGGTATAAAAGAAATGAAGATGCCTAGCTCAGACACAGGAGATCATGCTATAGACCTCTCAAATGACAAGAAAGAGATCCCACCACAGATACCGAGGTAGAAAATTCAGATGGAAGTCAGGGTTGATGAATGCAAAGGGATGATAATCGTTAAGCTGAGTGAACTGTGCATGTACCACAACAGGCTGCTGCTGCTTGATTTGAGAGTCAGTCTGAATCTGCAAACATTGTCCCCGTGCTGGTGGGACTGTGAAAAAGGGAATTTAGGACCAATTTAAAACATACAAGGCTACTGTAGAGCACCCATGCTGCACCCATAGCTTGAATGCTACCCAAGCTCATAAAGCATTACCCTGTGGTGAAAGGTATGGAATGGTGGCCATTTGAGGAAAACCTAAGTAAGCCAAAATTTCTTCAGCTTGGGTGGGGAAAAAAGGCAGCTGGTAGACTGGAACACACAATTAGCATAAAAGTTTTATACAAAAAGCCTATTTTTGTTTCTTGTGTGAGGTGGTCACAGAGCAGTGTTTAACATGAAAGAAGGTTTTGTTGGGGTTTTTTGTTCTCTTTTTTTTCATAGGAGAAGGAAATTGTAGAACTTGCGCTGTAGAGAATAAGATGTTGTGGAGGCTTTAATCGTGAGTGGGAGGGAAAAGGATACAGTGCCTTTGTGAAGTACAGTTTCATCGGTAAATATTAGAGAGATCTAGATGGGATTTTGGCTCAGGATTTCCACAGTGAAATGCTGAGAGCTGCAAGTGTGTAGCAGAAGTGTCAGTTCTATGTTCTCTCTTTATGCTTTTCCTTTTATGTTTTGGCCATTGCTGGAGATTGCTTTTTGCAACATCAAGGGATAACACTGGGTTAGAGCGAGCAGCTGAGATTAGTATGTTTCATTCTAAAGGTTTCTTTTTAGTTGTTTTTTTGTTTTGCTTAAGGATATTTTTTTTTTAATAGTTACTGGAACGTATTGTTTCCTGGCTTGTGCAACTGCTTTATTTTCGTTTGGTAAGGCTCTGAAGTTACTACTGACTTCAGTAAGCTTTGGATCACGTGCTACGTACTGTGTTTCTTTTTTGTTACTAGGTAGATGCACTACATCACATTATTTTATTAGAACAGGCTTCTTGAGTGAATAGCTAGCTCTTGACTAACCTTTTAAGATTGAGCCATATTATTTATTTACTAGCTAACTGTGCTGGAGCCTGTGCTCCAAGTAGATGGTTTTGTCAATTACT